CTTAAAATCTTCACTATAGCCTTATAGCGAAGTTGAGGTCTAGAACGTAAGGTTCGTTATAACAAGAGTTGACTGTACTTGTATTATAATATAAATAATCTATCAATTTTGATTCTTTTTTAAATATTAAAAATGAATTCAATAAAATAAATAATCTTACAATTTTTACACTTAGATAAAAAATTGATAAACTATCTAATTTTACTATAAATAAAAATTCAAAGTATATTATTAATTCATTAGAATAATTTATAAATATGCCAATTAGTATAAAAGACAAGAAAGATAAAATAATAATAATTACTAAAAACTTAGTATGTATTGATAATGATTAACTTAAACTAAAATTATTTTTAAGTATGTTAAATATTTAAAAAATTAAAAGTATTTTCTAATTTGAATAAAACTAATTTATATAAAGATTTAAGATAAGTTTTATATTATTCTAATATTTAGTAAAGTTTTAATAAATAAAGGATTTGACAAAAAATAAGTAAGATTTATTACTTTAAGTATCTACTAATTCCTCTAAACTAATTAATAAAAAAGGTTTAAAAAAAAAAAAATTATGAGAAAATGGTAATTTATATAAAAAAATTTAAAAAAGTAATATTTAATTAAATTTAAAAATATATGATACTATAATAATTTACTTAATTAGTATAAAATAAAGTTAAATAATATTTGAAATAAAAACATACTAAATACTTTAATTTTTTTATTTCAATATTAATTCTTTTATGCAAATCTAAAACATTTTTAAAGAATTCAGTAAGTGAATATTTGATCTTTCTAAGATCTTTTCTTTTTTGACTCTAATATTTTATTTATTTTTTCTAATAAATTTTTAGAATTAGAGATGTAAATAGATTTAGATCTAATTTTTTTTTTACTAGTCTTTTTATTTTATTACTTAAAATAACACTTATTTTTTGATACTGATATATTAGATTTTATTTTAATATTATATATAATATTTTTAGTGTTAATATATTAAAATCATATTTATTTTAAAAATCTGTATCATTCTATTTATATATAATTTTTGTATTAAAAAAAGTTATAAAAGAATCAAGTATGACTATTAACTTATTAATTAGTTAATTTCATGTAAACCTATTTTTTTCTTCAACTTTTTAGATCTAATCAATAAATTTTATGATATACTATATTATTTTTAAATTAGTTAAAACTTTAGATTTTATCTTCTAATCATAGTATTATATAATAAATTCATAATCAACTGATAAAAAAGAAGAGATAGCAATATTTTTTATCTAATATTTTGAAATAATTTATTAAATAGAATAAATAGAGAAAATGTATTTTATTAAATATACAGGATATACAGAATATATAGGAAAAATATATTTTAGATAAATAGAATATATAAGATATATAGAAAAAATATATTAATTTTAAAATTTTACTTATATATTTTTTACTATATTAATAATTAAGTAAAAAAAAATTATGACTAATATATATACTTTAAGAGATATTGAGAATAGAGATTATTAGCTTAATAGTATTTATAAATCAGAACTTAAGAAAGTATTATATAGTAAAATTAAAATTATTTATTATTTCACTAATAAATATAAAGATTTATAATAAAAGAATAATTTTATTATACCTATTTTAACATTAGCAATATAAACTAACTAATTGAATACATTTAATTCTAAACTTAAATTCTAATTTATTTTTAAATAAATATTCTATATTAAACTTAAAGCCAAATATTCTATTGAAATAAATTGTTCAAATCTTTATAATTAAAATACTGAAGAGAGAAATAATCGTAACCTAAAAAGCTTTATTTTTTGATAAAGTAAGAATTTTTTTAAAACTAAAATAGTTAAATTAAAAAGTTTAAACTAGAATAGTAAATTTTTTATTATATATATCTTATGATTCAAATATAATAAAAGAAGTAATAAAGAAACTGGTTTAAATAAACTCATCTTAATTAAGAAATATTATATATAAATGAATATTAAATGATTTTTTCTCAGTAAAACTTAAATTAGTATCTGAAAAAGACCTTTTTTTAAGATTTAGAAAATTAAAAAAATAATATAAAACGTATATCCTATCTATAAATGATTCATTACAAATTTTTCTATTTCTATAGAAAATAATCAAAATGCAAATATTGAGAAAAGATAATAAAGTTAACAATTGGATTGATAAGAATTTAAGAAATCTTATTTATATATTTAATTTAAAAATAAAGTAAAGAAATTCAAAAAAGAATATATTAAAAAAGTATATTAAAAATATTATAAAAGCTACTGGTAGAAAAAAAGTCTTTACTTTAAAAAACTAATATTAGTTTAACAAAATAAAGTTTAAAAATATCTAGTAAATCTAAATATAATGAAATAATTGAAAAAATTAGTGAATTAGAGAAAGATAATAATATCATTTATCTTGAAATTACTTTAATATTATCTTAAAGTTACAAATTTTTAATTTATTATATAAAAGAATAAAAAGACAAAATTATTCTTATAAAACTTTATATTATAAATATTAATAAAACTATAAAGTATAAATTATTTTGAATTTAGTTTCATCTTATTTACTATTATAATCATTCAAAATACTAGTTATAGAAAAAAAGTTGATTTAATAAGACTAATATTTTAACAAATATTTTTCTTAATAATAAAGTTAAATGCATATATAAAGGTAAAAAAAATAGGCCTAAATATATTTTATGTAATAATTTGATAATTTGTAATTAATATTCTGATAAATTAAAATATGTATTTATAAGATATATATATATAGTATAATTTTAAAATCTAAAAATAATATATTATAGGAATATTAAATTTTAAGTATATATTATTTAAAAATATTTCAAATATAAATTATTTTCACTTAAGAAAAATATAGCAATTATTTTTAAAAATCTATACTTAACTTCAAAATATATATAAAATTGAATTAACTAATTTTTTAAGAATGGATATTATTAAAATATTTTATGTATATATGTAACATGAAAATATTATAAAATCATTATATTTATATATAATAATATCTCTTATATAATAATAAGTATTAGAAACTTCTAATAATTTTTATTAGAATTAAAAGTATTATTAGAATTGAAAGACTAAAAGTACTTTTTATTTTTACTTAACATAAAATTTATATATTTTTATAGGCATTAAAATTTTTCAATAACTTTTTATTAAATTTAAAAATATCATTAGAATTAGAAGAATAAAAGTTTAAAAATGCTTTTAATTTTTAATGTCTTTTACTATTTTTATGTAATAATCTTTAATTTTATAAAGATATCTTAAAGATTATTAAATATTATATTAATAGTATTTAATCTAGATAAACTTAAAGATTATCTTTATGTGATTTAGTTAAGCTATTAAGAAGATAAAAGTAAAACAAAAATATAAAGAAAAAGTATTTTAACTAATAAATAAAATCTGATTTTATAAATATTAGCTTTTTTTTTTATCTTTTATATCTGATCTTTAGATCTATACAGTCAGAACTCAATATAACAAACCTTCTATTCAGGTAATCTTAAGTCATTATACCAAATATTCAATAAAACAAATATTTTTATTATATCAAACTTAATATATAAATTTTTTATAATTCGTTTTATCAAGTTTTTTTATAATAAATATTTATTTATTAATAAAAAATATTATATTATATTTATAAAAACTAACTTTTATTAAAAAGAATATTACAGTAATAAAATCCTTATTCAAAAACTATAAATTTATCTAAATTTAATTGAAGTGCAGATTCTGATTTAAATCTTAGAATTTTTCTTCTAATACCCTTCAAAATCTTTAATTCATTACCAGTAACTTCATAACTTTCTGATAAAAAATTATGAAAAGTAATTAGTTTTTCAATACTATTTAATATATCACTTAAAAAAAATATTAGAAATAACTTCTTCTTCATCTTGTGCTATTTCTGTATTATGACTTAATCGTACAATTTTAACAATTTCATCAATTTCATCATCATCTAATAAAATATCATCTTTGGTTAATTTATCAGAATCAATATATTCTAATGCAAGTAAAATATCATCATATGATAACTTTTGTATAGTACTATTTAAGTTGTTTTTATTACTCTCTTTGATAATAATATCATAATCTGATAGAATAATATCAGTTTTTAACCAGCAATTTTTAATAGTATTAGAATTAACCTGATTTTATATTTTAACAACAAAATTAATAGCATTATAAATATTAATAGAAAACAATAGGGTATTTAACTATTATGAAATATTATATTCTTTAACTCTATTTTCCACCAATAGTTTTCTATACTTAGCCTTAATTTTAATAAAAAATGTTAATAAAAATACTAAAATACTATATAATTTCAAAAATAAATTTAGAATATTTACTTTAAAAGAATTAATAATTTCTTAATCTAAAGGTTGTAAATATAGAGTTGTGTTAGGTGGTAAATAATAAATTTCAATATTACTAAAAGAAGGCAATTCATGTTATTTGCCATGTGTTGAAGCATTGTTAATCAATAATAAAATTTTCCTATAATGAGTACACATTAATTTATTTAATTTTTTCAAATAATCAAACTAAATTGATTGTTGTATTCATATAGTTTTGTTCTAATAATATTATACAGAATCTTCAACAATTATATTATGCAATAGACAAGGATTTTGTATTTATAAATGAATAATAATCCAAGCTTATCTTGATCAGTAACATTATATGTTAGCAAAATAGTGAACTATTTCCCGATGAATTTCTTAAACCAGGTAACTCTATTTTTTAATTTTTTAGATCCAGTTATAAGACCTTGCAAAAGAGTTTTTGAAGGTTCTAATTGCCAAAATAATGCTAAAAAAAAATAAATAGTAAATAAATTAAACCTTTTAATTGTAAATAATATTTAATGATAATAAATTTAAATACCTATTTCATCACAATTATAAATATCATCCAATGCATATTCATATAATTTTTCAGCAATTTCTTGTTTATATTTATTAATTTTTTCTAAAAAAGTATCATTAGCAGCTTCACCTAATTTAACATAAGATTGAACATTATATTTTCTTTTAAAGTTTGTTAACCAGCCTGCAGAAGTAGTAAATTTTGTAATACTAAATCTATTTGCAAATTATTTAGCTTTTTTTTTGTAAAATATCATCTCTTAAGGTTTGGTTTAATTTCTAGCTAAAAATTGTGACATTCAAATTTCAACTGCATCATCTATTTCCTTATATATAGATTGTCTAAACCTTTTTCTTCTAGTTTAGAGCTAGAAACAAACAAATATTCAGATTTTCTTTTTAAAATATCATTAACTATATTAGATGTAATATTGTAATAACAAGCAAATTCAGTATTTTGCATAAATAGATTATCAATTTTTTTTGGTAAAGTTCTTGTTAAAGCTTTGAACAGTTCAGATTAATCTGAAGATTTTTCAGATTAGTTCAGTTCAGATTAGTTTCAGATTATATAAAAATCGATATGAAAATTTTTAGTTCAGTTCGAATTTTTTTCAGATTATAATTCTAATCTGAACTGAAAAAAATCTGAACTGAACTGATAATTTCAGATTAATCTGAAAAGTTCAGTTTGATTATATGTGAAACTCTTGAAGGATCGCAAAATTTGTGAATTCTCTAAGAGGATTGCAAAAATTTAGCGAAACTTTTAGAGAATCACAATTTTTTGCAATTTCTCTTCAAATTTTGCAAAAAAATTGTGAAATCTTAGAGAATCACAATTTTTTGCAATTTCTCTTAGAATTTTACAAAATTATTGCAAAACTCTTAGAAAGTAACAAAAAATTGCAATTTCTCTTTGAATTTCATAAAAAAATTATGAAACCCTTAGAGAATCGCAAATTTTATGATTTCTCTTAGTATTTCGCAAAAAATATTGTGAAATTCTTTGAGAGTCACAAAAAATTGTGATTTCTCTTTAAATTTTGCAAACCTCAAAAAGAAATTCGCAATTTTTTGCGATTCTTCTAGAGTTTCGCATATAAATTGCGAATTCCTTATATAATTGAACTGTAATTTCAGATTAATCTGAAAATTTCAGTTCAGTTCAGATTTTTACCAGTTTGCAATTCAGTTCAGATTTGAATTAACATTTTTAAGATTAATAATTCGAACTAAACTGAACTGAATTTTTAGTTTAGATACTGATTGGTATCTAATCTAGACTAAACTGAACTATTCAGAACTTTAGTTCTTGCTTATGAGCTAAAGATTAAATAATTCGCTTGGTTTTATTTTTAGTAAACATAATGGTAATGGAAGAGTTAACGAAAGAAACAAAATTTTTATTCTTGTAATTATAATATATTAATAGATATGTTACTTTACTATATTTAGTGAAGATTGATAAAAAGTCAGCATATAGAATTAAAAAAACTTCTTATAATAATGATCATTATATAGAAAAAAAATTGTTATCAGTTTATTACAAATAAATACATATAATTGGTTAATAACTAGACTTCAGTATAATTATATCATAAAATTTATAATAAAATTGATATATTGTGATAAAATTAATTATAGGTTAATTTGGTTTAAAAAAAAATTCATTATGAGTCAAAATCAGTTTATCCTGAATTATTATATCAAGTTTTAACTGTAATTTCATATTACATTTTCTTATTTATATTAATCTACTTTCTGTATTCCTTTTTATATTTTACATAAACTTTTTAAAAGTTCTTTTATTATAATGAACAGATGTTGAATTAATACTTTAAATTTATTCATAACTTGATAATAGTTTTTTTCTCATAATTACAGATATTATTATTAGTTTTAATTTTACTATATGTAATATATATTAAATTTATTGGATTTAAAACTTTTAATTTTATTATATATTACAATTTATATCATAATATTTTATTCAAAACTTTTTATTCACAATCAAAATATACTTATAATTAAAATTTAAAATTATTTTTCAAAAAGAACTATCGTATTCTGCTAATTTTAAACACTACTCTGACTTTAAATAAAAATGACCTAAATAACAAAAATAAGCATCACCTAAAACTTAAAATAAATTTATTTAACAATTCAAAATGAAGATTTTATTTATATTAATACATGTATATTTATTTTAAAAAATCTATTTATCAAATTTATCAGTTGAATATTCATCAGCTGAATCACTATCTATATTTAATATTTCCCTTTTATCATTATCATCTTTTTCAGTTTTATTTTACCTAAATAAATTATCTTCTAACCTATATATTGCATTACTAATACTACACTTTTTAAATGATTTTACAATTATTTTTCTTGGAATTTCTGCTCAGACTTCAAAAATTCACTTACAAATAATACTATAATTAGATTTTTTAAATTTTCACCTTTAGTATAGGTAAACTGACCTGAACTTATCTAAGCATTTCACTTTTCATGATATCTATCTTTAAATGGCTTATTAAGATAAATATTAAGCAGTTAAACAATAGAGGTAAGACTACCAGGAATAATTTCTAAATCAGTATTTGTGTTTGATGCAATATTTTTAATAAGATTTATTTTGTGACCTTTAAAATTATCTATAATAAGAAGCGCTTTTTTTTGACTAATTCCATTTTCTTCAGATCTTTTTTTCTAAACTTTATCAAACTAAATTTTCATTCCAGATTCATCTATCTATTCTTTTAAATACATTAATATAATAATTTTAGAAGGTAAATTTTTTGATACTTTTTTATCTTTAAAAATAATGATTAATGGTAGTTTTGTATTATCTGCAAGAACTGTAAGAATATATATAAACCAATTTTTCTCATTTCTAGTTATTCAGATTTAAACAGTTTATGCATCACATTCTTCGATAGTCAAACTTTCAATCATATCAAAAAAAATAGGAGTTTTATTCATATTTCTAATCTCAAAAAGTTTATACCTAAACTTTTTTTATTTTTCAATAATATATCGTTGAAATTCTAAAAGTTTTTCATCAAAGTAGATAGGAAGCTTTTGACTAATTTTTATTTTACATCATAAAGCAAACCTATTTCTTTTAAAAAAACAATAAAACTAATGATTTGAAGCTAAAAAATTTTTATCATTTAGATAAGTATTAGTAAATTGTTTTGTTAAAAATTCTTTCATATAAAATTTAACCATTTTAGAAGTTATAGCAATTCCATTTCTTCAAAATTTCAAAAGTTATATTTTTAAATTAGTTTCAGCCTCAGGATAATGTGTTTTTCTTTTAGCACTAACTTATCAATTTTTGCTTTTTGTAGATTTAAGTTTTTCTTCTTTTTTTTGCCAACGAGAAATTATTGAATGATTAATAGTAAAATGATGAGAAGTAGCCTTTAAACTATGTAGTTTTGCATATTATAAAACCTTAAACTTTTCTGAAGCGAAATAAGAAAAATGTTGAACTTTGGATATTAAAACAAAAAAAGGGGTAACTGGTAAGTTTATTAATACTGGTTATATTTATTTTATATAATATTATAACAAAAGTTATAACATTTATTTTACAAAGAAAATTAAAAACATTTTTATTAAAATATTATTTACTTTCATTAAATTTTTTGAATAAAAACTTTTTTTTTCAAAAAAAAATCACAAATAATAAAGTAGTACATAAAATTTTCTGATTTAAACACCATTTTGAGTTTTAGTCCAATTTTTCTTTCAAAAATGTAGTGCTTAAAATTGACAGAATACGGTAATTAAAAGTATATTAAAATCATTAATAAAATTGTAAATTTTTATTTTTTTAGACTTTCTTTAAAAATATATTAAATTTTGTATTTTATCATCATTATTAATAACTAGTATTAATAAATATTAATTACATATAGTGTAGTAAAAATAAATATATTACTTTAAAGAAATAAAAGGATAATAAGTATTATAAAGTGATAATTTTAATTTATTAACTTATTGTATAATATGGACTAAATTAAGAAAATATTATCTTGATCTTTTGATACTAATAATAAAATTCTATTATTTTAACAAGAAAAATAACTGACTCTTTATATTTTTTAAAGATAACGTTACAACTAATTACAACTGGTAATAAATATGCATTATATAATTATAACTAATTATGATATTAATAAAATTGAGTTACAATTAGTTGCAATTCAATTTTATTAATGTTGCAACTAGTTTTAATCAATAACAAATACATATCATAGGGTTGCAACTAGTTAAAACATAATAAAAATTGAGTTGTAATTAGTTGTAACTAATGACAAATAAGTATCACATAGTTGCAACTAATTGTAGTATCATTTTTAGTTATAACTAGTAACAAATAAGCATCATATAATTACAACTAGTTATAATACTAACTTTTGTCTTTTTGGATTATAACAAGAGATATTATTATATTTTTTAATATTAAGGCTATATCAGTAAATTAAGTATGATTTTCTATTCACTTTAAGAATCTTCAGATTTGCTATTTTTTTTTCATTTATTTGTTAATATTTATTTAAAAATGGAAAAATATTATTTTAATATATTAGATTAATACTAATTTTTAAAAAGTCTGATCTTAATTTTTAAAGAATACATAAAGCTTTTTTAATATAATGAAAATTTTATTTTAAATCTATAATTTTTTTTTTTAGCTAATTAAATAAGAATTAAATATATCAATTAGCAAAGTTATACCTACTAACTTTTCAGAAAGAATACATATATTCTTTTCATTTTTATAATCTAAAGAATAGTAGTAATAAAAATAATTAGCAAAAATTAGTTATAATTTAAGTATATATAAAAATATAAAATTTTTATAATTTATAATAATTTTATATATTAAAGCTTTAATATATGCATAAAGTAAAATATAAAATTACTAATAAATAATAAAAAGTAAAATTTAGCAACTTATATTAAAATTTTATTAAAAAATCTATGAAAAAACTTAGAAAATAATAAATCTTATTAAAACTTATAAAAATAATAAATCTATATCAATTCCTTAATAAAAAATTAATAAATTTAAAAGTTTAAACTTTTTATTAAATTAAAAATAAATTAGACAAGTAAATCTTAGTAAGATATTTCTTATTGCTAATTATTTAATACAAATTTAACTGTAATTTGTATTATTAAATTTATTTAAAAATAATACATTTTTTTTTAAAAAAAATAAAAATTTTTAAAAATAATAATTGAAATACAGTCAATTTTTGATATAGTGAACTCTTGATATAATGAATTTCTTAA